GCGCTTTCCCCTCCCCCCACCCCTTTTCCCCACAGACTTACCTTTCTGAATTAAAGTCCAACCCACGATCTACTGCTCTCAGCCCCCGCCCTCCCAAAATAATTTTTTCTACCTCTGCCTCAATCTGCATGCCACTTACCTCCCCACTGACTGACCTCCTGGGTGGGGGCAGGGGGTGGTGTGTGGTAGATCCTGGGTTGGACATTAATTCAAAAAGTGATCTCGTAATTAAGAAGGTTGGAGACCACTGGTTTAGAAGATCCCATGAAGCATCTCTGTGATGCTTAGTTTCAGTTCTCAAACTGTGAATTTGTGTCTCTAGGGATAAGATCCTTGCTAACAGTAGTATATGAAGATGAGAGATAACAGACCTGATTACCTACCCATTAACCCTGTTGTCTTTCTGCAAGTTTGTGGACACAGTCAAGCCCTTACCTCTCTCTAAAAGTGCAAAGTTTCAAGAAGTTAAATGAATAGAGGCTTGTTGTGGGTGGAGGAGCTCTGGGCAAGGAGGAGGAGTCTGGAGATAAATGCAAGGAGGAAGGGGCAGTAGAAACAAAAGAGAAACATTTGAGCAGAATATTCCAGAAGTCTTGGGGACAAGTTTCTGAGTATAGCCTCTCCACTGATTTTGAGATCTAGTGAGGGAATGGTATGGCTGAAAGGGAACACCTATCCACAAGAATGCACTTTTTTGTAGAAAACAATGATTAAATTAAGGCTTCCTGACCAGTGATTTAAATCGTGATGTATATTTATTTCATTTAAATCAAATCCACCCTGGCCAGAAGTGGTAGGGAGCCCAGCTTGGCCGTCCCATTCCCTCCTTCATGGTGGAGTCCTGGGAGCTGCTCGTGGTGGCAAGGAGTGGGGCCACGCCACTGACTCCATCATGCAGGGCTCCTCTCCAGCCCTGCTTCCCTCCTCTCTGCCCCCCTTCCCTCCTCCGCAGCACGCGGCTCTGGCTGCACATGAGCTATAGGGAGCCCCGGATTATGGAACCGGGTTGGCCTGGCCCTGCTTCCTGCCACCATGTGCAGCTCCCAGAACTGTCTAGGGGCTCTGC